ATCATGTAATAATTATTGAGTTGGAGAGTTTGTATTGTTTATGTTGCCTTGTTCTCACCTTTTATACACCTTCACATGTAAACAAGGGTAGGAAGAAATAATTTTGATTTTTCTAGGGTGTTTTGTTTTAGTTATTTTTTTAGTCATGGTATGTCACTGAATGATGCTGCTCATCAAGTACATAGTCACAAGCTACAGCCTATCCTAATGTAAGATTTATCTAAAGAGTTTACTGCAAGCCTCGGTGTAAAAAATTAAAACAAAACTTAGAAATGAGTTAAATTTTCTTAATTACAAAATGTTCATGTTCAACTTAGTTTTGTGATAATTTTTATGCCATTTCTATAGTAGATCTAGTCTATAAAAATTTTCATCGGAATACCATGGAAGCATAGTATCATGAAACTATGCAGGCAACCTAGTGTTGGATGGATCCAGAAATCGTTGCCTCACTCTATACTGAATTGTAATATAGCTAGTAGCCTACTTTTAGATCTATAGTGACTGAAGGGTCAGGCCACGCCTGAATAGGTGAGTCTAGTGTCAACAACATGACTATAGAAAATATTTATTTTTAAGTTGAATGGGTGGAGAAATTGAAACCGAGTGTCAACTCTCAAAAAATGAGACTCCTTGTCAATTTTGCTGCGAGCTGTATTTTCTTGCTTTTCCTAGTCAGTTTTGGCGTTAAATCTGATTCTATCGTTATCAGTAGTGGCTATGAATTGGAAAAGCTACTGTGCACTGGCAAATCCTATGAAAACGACACGGTCCTCCTCCTCGACTCTAATACCACTCATCAAATCACTCCAGGTAAATATTGCACTGTTAAAATCAGTCACTCTCTTACTATTGCCAGTCATTCAAATGATACTCTTGCACTAATTAATTGTATTCCAAACAAAAGAGTAATTCATCGTGACCATGAGAAAACAAGTGGTTTTGCTTTTTATGGTACAACTTCCGGGTCATTACAAATGAGAGGGCTCATTTTTACTAACTGCGGCACTGCCATAGATAGTAGCATAATCAAATCTACTTCTCGTGTTTGCTTTACAAAAGATCATGCTGCTGCACTGATATTTGTCAGTATTCCTATGCTTCTAGTAGAAGATGTATCTATTTCTGACTACCATGGGTTTGCAATTGTATCTATTAATCTTCAGAATGCTTCATTTAATTCGCTTCATGTTGCTTTTAATGAACATAAAACAGCTATAGGGAGTGGCATTTTAGTCCTTTTTTACAATCAAAATACACTTTCTTTAGCAACTGATCATGCCCTCACAATTTCAAACTCTATTTTTTTAAAGAATAATGCATCTATCAAATATCAGAAATTCATTGAAGAGCTCTACTGTGTCTCTGAAATTTACAAAAACTTCTCTTGTATGCCTGTAGTGAATGCTGGCGGTCTGACAATATTTTATGCTCAAACTGATATAAGAGCAACTGTTACATTGTCAGGTAATAGCTTTCTATTTTGTTCTGGTCATTTGGCAGGAGCAATACTAATAATTCACTTTAATTCTTCAATTGATTCAAAAACAATAATTAATGGTCCTTCCAATTTCGACTCAAATTCTATAGCATATCATTGCCATGGAGCAGCCATAGCAGCAACCATTTTTATTGGCAATAATGAATTGAACACATCAACCTATAGACCTCTTACTATTGCAAATGGAAACTTTTCTAGAAATGGTTTTAGTCCAAATTGGATGTCTGGTACTATTAGTATAGGATTAATTGCTAAAAATGTAGAGTCCATACTGCATCCAAAAATTGAATTACTTTTTCGTGGGCTACAATTTTACGGTAACTTTGGGTACGATTATGGAGTATGCATGTTTGCTGCAGTATATCCAGATTTAAGCATACCTAGTTTTGTACACATCTTGTTAGAGTCAATTACAGCACTCAGTAATCCAAGCCCAATTTTGCCACGGGTAAAAAAATATATTCCCGTGAGTTTGTTTTATTTGGCAAATGCTAACATCACAATCAATGGAACTACGACTAATCCTGGAAATTTTTCTTATAACTATGGTTCAGTTTTTGTCATAACACACTCAAATGCTAATTTAGAGGGGAGCCTATACTTTGACAGTAACATTGGTCATAATGGTGCAGCTTTATTATTAAAAGGCAACAGCTATCTCTACCTTAAAAAGGGATTGAATGCAAATTTTTTAAATAATGCTGTACAGTCATTAGGGGGAGCAATATGTGCTATTGGTGCTTCATCCTTTCGATGTACATTTCAGTTAGCATCAGAAGATATTTCTGGCATTAGCCTAAATTTTATCAATAATACAGCTGCACTAGCAGGTAATGCTATATACTCTACAAAGCTTTATAAATGTTCAATAATAAAAGGAAAATTTATCAGAAATTTGAAACATTACTACAGCACTATAATTAAAAATGCTTCCGTATCAGATGTTTCATCAGTAGCTGAAAAAATTTTCTTTTGTAATTCAAAAGATACATATGAAGTTTATCCAGGTGGCACTATTCATATTCCCATAGGAGTATATGATTACAGTAATACATCCACATTTGAAATTGTCACAGTGATTATGGTAGAGGAAAGTAATGTTTTGAAAAAAGCCAATTTGTGGCTTTCCGACAATCAGAATTCATTTGTTGTTAAGGGGAAGGAGAACTGTACAGTGGCCAGTTTGACAGTACACACCAGTGATACATCAATTCTTAATAAGTCATCATTTTTCTATTTTACTATATCAGAAGAAAACAAAGTTAATGCAGCTAAAGTGTTATTGAAAAAGTGTCCACTTGGTTACCAATTAGATAGTAAGACAGGAGCTTGTGTATGCTCAAATATTTTCATTGAATTCGGGCATGGTATTTCATGCAATGTCAGTAGCAATAAGTTTATAAAACCTAGTAGTTTAAATGTATGGTTGGGCACTGAAAAAACCGGTAGTAAACTTTTTGTTGGTTTCTGTAATCCCAGTTACTGTAACATTGGGTCTCAGTTTGATATCTTACACTTAAACACAACAGGGTCTTATCTCAGTTCCAGCAAGACATCAAAGACAATCCCGTTATGTTTTGGCTCACGAACAGGAATACTCTGTGGAGAATGTATTCCTAATTATAGTGTAGTGTTTGGTTCTAGTGAGTGCAAAATGTGTTCTAGTAAATGGTGGCCTCTCACATCAATCATCTACATACTAATAGGTCCATTGTTTGTTTTTGTATTATACATTCTTAAACTCACTCTAACTACTGGTACACTCAATGGTATCATATTTTTTGCACAAGTTGCCAATCTTGGACGCATGAAATATTTAAATATACCTTGCAGTGATGAAGAATGTGCAAATGACTATTTCTTTGTCAAGTTTGCTAGTGTAATGCTATCCTTGCTAAATTTAAACATTGGCTACCCAATTTGCTTATATGACGGAATGACAGAGTTATGGAAGACTGGACTGAGTTTATTTTTCCCTGTCTATTTAATTCTAATTGTTTGTTTCCTTATTATTTTGAGTCGCTTCTCGTCTAAGATTTCTAATAAACTTGCAAATTCATCTGTTCAAGTTTTAATCACTGTTGTTCATCTTTCTCTTACAAAGTTATTTGAAACTTTTATTGAAGTTTTTGCCGGAGTTTTATATCATGAAGATGGCGTAAAAGAGCCAACAAAGGTCTGGTACAACAGTGGAGCTGTCGGGTATTACAGTATGGAACACAAGTGTCTCATGATAGTTACATCAAGTATTGGGGGACTCATTCTTATGCCATATTTGGTATTGATCCTGTTTGGAAAGTACATAATGAAAGTTGACAGATGTAGAGAATACATTCGTCCTTTCTATGAAGCAATACATGCTCCCTACAAAACAAACAAGTGGTATTGGTTTCAGTTTCAACAACTCATGCTGTTGCTTATTTATTTAATAGCTACTGCTGATGGAGCTCACCCCCTTGCAACACTTTTTCTTTTAATTGTGAATATTTTGTTCTTGTACCTGCAATTGTGCTCAATGCCCTTTAAAAGTAGAGTTCTCAATGTGTTGAATTCTTACTTCATTATTAACTTAATACTGGCCTTTATGGTGACTCAATTCATCAGTATAACTGAGGGCACTTCAAAAAATTTGGTATACAGCTTTGCATTCGCAAATTATCCTGCCTTTATTGTTTTCAGTTTCATCATTATGTATCATGTGTTGCTATCAACAAAACAACTAGGCAAAGTTCATAATTTGTATAGAAAGATAGCAGCCTGCTTTGTGAATAAAAGATGTCCTCAGAGACGTTATCAATATGGATGCAATGACTCTGGTGACTATACTCAAATTCGAGAGCCACTTCTTGAAACAACTTAATTGCCATGCACTGTTTCAATACATATTGTTTGTGTTTTGACATACACAGCTCTTTTACTCATACACACTCAATAACAAACAATAAAAGTTATTTTAAACAACATTTTAATTATTTACGAAAGTCATCTCTGTGTGCAATTGGCAAATTTTATATTTTTGGTGATTTTGTAGCATTGTGCATATTACTTTAAAATAAAAATATGATCTAAAATGATGTTTTTAAGAACTGCTGATTGTCCATCATAATTCCTCACCAATATAAGTTAATCATCTTGCTAATATTAAGTTCATAAATCAAACAATTATCTTTTAATGTACTTAATAAACTGTATAATATAATCCATGTACATGCAAGTTGCATAATGAAGTGCATGAGCTGGCAGTTGTGACTTCTATTATTTCATGCTATAGTTATTGGAATGAAACTTGGCTATACATAATCATTATTTACTTTCAAAATAAACATTGTTTATTGCCATATTTCATACTCATAAAATTAAGGCATTATAATAAAATACAACACCTTATGATTGAAATAATATAACTCGTCTCCTTCTAAATAAAATGTATTACTTGTTTCTTTTCAATGTTTTTGTTTCAGTTTCTGCATGTTCAACAATCTTTTCATCCATTGCCAGGCCTTTATTCTTGCTTGACTCTCAGACAGTGACTGATAATGTTCTAATTCCATTTCAGTGGAGGGTACCCAGAATGGATCAGAGGGCAATACCTATTGAATACACAAAGACTCAATGGCTGGACTGTAGATTTTACAGGCTCTATTTTTAAACAATCATTAATAGATGTAATTGAGTTACTAATAATAATAAGTAAGCTCAATAAGTACAAATTGTGTGCATTCAATGCATTTATTATTACATGTGCTCACTGAGTTCAATGAAGTGTACACTGCTTCACTAGATGCTTTCATTTATTTCTTTTATAATGTCAGACATTGTTGGACGATGCCTATAGTTCTCTATCAGACAACGTTCAATGAGATTCTTCAATGTCAGCCTCTTGATAGCTTTAATCTGAGCCTCTCTCATACTCTTGTCTTCCTCTGGAAACTGACAAAGAACCATCTCAATAAGGAGGACACCATAACTGAAGACATCCATTGCAGGAGAATGTTGTATTGGGTAAGGAGATTCTGGAGCTGAATAGACAGGATTACCAGGATTGCATGTTTTAGCAAGAGGCTGAAAACTAACTGTACCGTAATCAGACACTTTAGCTTTCCATACTCCTACCATTGGCTGGAGGAGTACATTAGCACTGCTAATATCTCTATGTAGTATAGGATGAGGCTTGAAGAGATGAAGGTAATTGAGAGCATAGGCTACATCTAAACTGATGCTCAGTATGGCAGGATAGGCCAGTCCTCCAGTCTCTAATTCCTTTCTTAGGCTGGTTGGCATTAGCTCTGTCAGGATGATTGGATTACCCTCTGTAGTGGCCCCTATGAACTGAAGGAGGTTAGGATGACGTATTTCAGAAGCAATATTCATTTCATGAGAGAATTTCCTAATGTTATGAGCAGAAATGATAATGTCATAAAGACACTTTGCAGCAACCTTCAGACCACGAAAACTAGCTACCTTGACCTCTCCCCATCCTCCTTTACCAAGGACTACCTCTGTCATTGTAATCTCTCTTCTATTCACTACCCAGGAAGACTCTACCACTTGTATTTGCTCTTCAAGTTGCCTCTCCCTTTCTTGGAACTCTCTTTCTCTTTCCCCAAGCTGTTGCTCTCTTTCTTGCAGTTGTCGTTGAAGTTCTTGTTCTGTTTCCCTTGCCTGTTGAATTTGTCTCTCTCTTTCTTGTCCTTCTTGCTGTGCTTGTTGAAGTTGCTGATCTTGCACTTGAAGCAGTCTTTGAAGATCTTGAAGCTGTTGTTGAAGATTTTGCTCTTGTTCCCTGGCTTGCCTCTCTCTTTCTTGTCCTTGTTGAAGTTGCTCATCTTGCTTTTGAAGCAGTCTTTGATGATCTTGAAGCTGCTGTTGAAGATCTTGCTCTTGTTCCCTGGCCTGCTTCTCTCTTTCTTGTCCTTCTTGCTGTGCTTGTTGAAGTTGCTGATCTTGCTCTTGAAGCTGTTGTTGAAGATCTTGCACTTTCTCCCTGGCCTGCCTCTCTCTTTCTTGTCCTAGCTGCTGTGCTTGTTGAAGATGTTGATCTCGTTCTTGAAGCAGTTGTTGAAGATCTTGAAGCTGTTGTTGAAGATCTTGCTCTCGCTTCTGCCTCTCTCTTTCTTGTCCTTGTTGCTGTGTTTGAAGATCTTGAAGATGTTGTTGAAAATCATGTTTTTGTTCCCTGGCTTGCCTCTCTCTTTTTTGTCCTTCTTGCTGTGCTTGTTGAAGTTGCTGATCTTGCTCTTGAAGCTGTTGTTGAAGATCTTGAAGCTGTTGTTGAAGATCTTGCACTTTCTCCCTGGCCTGCCTCTCTCTTTCTTGTCCTAGTTGCTGTGTTTGAAGATATTGAAGAAGTTGTTGAAAATCATGCTCTTGTTCCCTGGCCTGCCTCTCTCTTTCTTGTCCTTCTTGCTGTGCTTGTTGAAGTTGCTGATCTTGCTCTTGAAGCAGTCTTTGAAGGTCCTGAAGCTGTTGCTCTTGTTCCCTGGTCTGCCTCTCTCTTTCTTGTTGCTGTTGTTGAAGATCTTGAAGCTGTTGTTGAAGATCTTGTTCTTTCTTCCTGGCCTGTCTCTCTCTTTCTTGTCCTAGTTGCTGTGTTTGTTGAAATTGCTCATCTTGCTCTTGAAGCAGTCGTTGAAAATCTTGAAGCAGTTGATCAAAGTCATGCTTTTGTTCCGTGGCCTGCCTCTCTGTTTCCTTTGCCTCTCCCGCTCTTTCTTGACCTTGTTGCTGTGCTTGTTGAAGTTGCTGTAGTTCAGTTCTAAATTGTTCTTTTTCTCTTCTCTCCTTCTGTAGTTCCCTTTGCAGTACACATGTCTCTATTTCTCTTCTATCTTCAGATTGAACAGGTTGAGGTGCTTTCCATTCTCTTCTCCTTTCTTGTAGTTTCTCTTGATACTGGTCCAGAGGTATTATACTAGTAGACCAATCATCATTACCAGTATATCCTATACAGTAACACAAAAGTGAATTTATGACAAGTGACATGTACATGTATGATAACACATGTAATATCATTTACTTTTGTAAACTCCTCATAATTATTTTTTAAATACTACTATACCGTATAGCCGGAAAATTTGTCGGAGAATTAAATTTGGTGGATTGGCGGTTCAAAATAAAACCGCCAATATTATAACCGCCAATAATAATTGCAATGATGGGCCAATCCCGTCATGAGCACACGATACTAAAAAATGCCAAAATGACAGTATTTCTGAGTATTTCTCACTATTTCAGTCAAAACTGTGGGCAAGGACTGGCAAGGAGCAGCTTGAAGAAGAGCTGAGAGTGCTTAAAGAAAAGACAAGATAGTAAACTGCCAAATTAAGAGACCGCCAATATTATATTTAGGCAATTTGATGCAAAACCGCCAAATTTTTAGACCGCCAAATTTTCCGGCTATACAGTAGTACATGTATTCTGGTGAAACAATATCCTATACCAACAGGATAATACCAAAGGATAAATTCACTAAAATTTTACTCAACCAAATTTTCTAGCCATACAGTCTTACTGTAGATAGGGAAATTTTTTTGCTATATTTTTGTGGTTAAAGTGACCCACAAAATTTTAAAACACGTAATATTTTCTACAGCAAATAATAAGATTACCGAAATTGCGAGTAAACGTGCAGCAGTGTATGCACAAGGTTAATTCTTCTAAAAGCCCAAAGAAGGCCTGAAGCTCTCACCCAAGAGGCTCCTTGTCAGTTTCAGTCACTGCTGTCACAATCAACTTCCATTGAATAGCTGCCCATCGTCATCAAAAGTTAGTA